AGGAGGCTGCAATGCTTGGTAAGAAATGTACGCATTATCCTGCCCATGCAATTGTAACCCCTCTGTACAGTATGTTCACAAATAAAATAAAATAAAATTTATAAAAAAAAATGTCTGTGGTCTGTTTAGCCACTCCCATTATAGGTTCTGGAGAGTCTTTGTAGTCTATCATTATTAGAAATATTATCCACTGGTTTTGATTTTACTAGACTATCTTCTATAATTAAATGAGGGACTTCAAAACCTGTGCCACTGGTATCTTCCCAGAATCTTCCCTTATTTGATCTTCTAAGCTAATTTCAAATAAAAATACAATAAAATAAAATTTACCTTTAAAAAGAAATAAATATAAACACATCAGACAGATGAGTCTCAACTTTCTTGGATAACAATTTTAACTGAAGCATTAGTAAAAGTTTTAACTTGAATATCAAAATCCTACTTCTAGTATGACTCATCCACTGACTTTCACAACTACATGGCCTCCATCAGCAAAAAGAACACTCAGACCCAGATCTGGGTTCTAAATATTATTCCCCAATAAAAAGAACAAAAATTAAAATGTAAAGAAAATATAATTATAAACCAAGAACATCTAAAAGGATCAGAAAATAAGGAAACACTCAAAATAAGAGGGTGAACACAACTCAACAGAACACCACAGAGAATTAAAATAGGAACAATTCAAACAATATAAGAAATAATGTATCAGCAGATTATAACTAGGATTCCCATGTAAAATACAGGATAATCAGTGAAATTTAAATTTCAGATAGAATGTTTTTAGTATTAAAATGAATCACTGTGATTCCTGCCAAATTTTATATATCTTTCACAGGGTTATATATAATAATATTAAGATAATTATGCCATAAGGTGTAATTCTCTGCATAAAATAGGTATGAACAACTCCTTACATTTTTAACATGATCTTAAGTCTAAATGATTTCTCTGAAAGTACTAATACATCTGTAACACAGCTGGATCCTGTCTCATAATCATAGATAAAGATTTAAGAGACAATTTGGAGAAAACCAGAAAACAAATTCTCAACAATGTTTTATTAATATATTTATTCAGTTTTATCACTATAACTAGAATCAAGATCTATGCAAAGCAATATAGTCTAAACTGAAGTTTATGTATTGTTGTTTTGGTTTGTATTCACACTCAGGAAGTGGAGCTGTAGCTCAAATAATAGTAAAAACTTTAAAGATGTTTTTACAGTGCTAAGTCCAAGTCAGACCTGAAAATATGAGAATATTCAAAAATCACTGAACACTTCTTTTATGAAATGAATATTGTGTTCTTAAAAATCCATGTGGAAAATACTTAGTCCCTAAATGAACAGTATTTGGAGATAGGTTTTCTGAGAGGTAATTATGTCATAAAAGTGGAGTTCTCATGAATGGGATCACTGATCTTATGAGGTAGGAAAGACATAATCTCTCTCATCTATTTTTCTGTCTATCCATCCAACAATCTCTATTGATTCTTCCACATGAAAATATTGAAAGAATGCCCTTATGAGACACCAGATAACACATGTTCTATGAACTTCACCTTGGAATTCTAGCATGAGAATTATGAGAAAAAAATTTTTCTGTTATAACATCATCCAGTCTCTGCTATTCAGTTATGAAGGCCCAAATTAAGACATCCACCTGATGTCAAAATACAAGAATGGCTTAATTTAAAGTAAAGAATTTCTCTTTGAAGATCAAATTCAATGTCAACATCTTAAATTTCAAAATACTTCCACTGGATATAAATTGCAATATTATGTGTGAATAAATGTCAACATTACTTCTGAAATAAAATTTTGTGAGTTTGCCAATTTCAAAACTGTCCACAAGCACAGTAAAGTTCAAGAGTCTTCAAGAGTCTGAAATGCAAAGGAGTTTTCATTATAAATCACTCTGACTAAAACCAAGGGAGAAAGAAGAATTATCCCAAAAATAAATTGCCTCAGTTCATTAATTTGTTTGCTGGTTGCTTACATGTCAAGTCTCTACATCTACTTTGTTCACTCTTCTTTCCTCTCTCTCTTTCAAGACATTTAACCACCCTGGGAGAAAATACATAAAAACTCATAAAACCACCTGCTCTCTTCTCACACAGCATGTTACTATTGTAAGAAGGCTAGTCCTCGTGTTTCCCCAGTGATAAATAAAAGGACTTCACTCACCGAGCTGGGGCTGGAGTGCCGTCTAACTTTAGGCGACTCTTTGCCAGCAGAGGAGGACTTGAAGTTAATGCAAGCATTGTTCTCAGAATGCACCCTTTTTACTTGATTAGTTGGTTTCTCAAATGGGTCAAAAGTGCTCTGTGTCCTCTGAACCCTGACTTTTTTATCCTCAGGAATTGTATCCAGGTGTTTGATCACCGAGTCCATTCCCTGGCAGTTCCGTGTAGACATCTTTGTGACACATATCTGAAAAAATAAAAGAATCTAAATTCAGAATTCCACACTGAAACACTAATATCATTAACCATGCTGACATGCTACTCTATAAAGAGGGCTCAATTCAGCTTCAGAAAATATCCAACCTCCCCCATAAAAGCTATTCTCACTTCAATCACAATAAGAAATAATCCAATAATAATCCAATAATCATATATGCTTTATTACAGTATTTGTAAAAGAATAAAACACTATTCTTAAAACAAGAAGCTCACATTATACCATTAGTACTCATATGGATTTTGAACCCATTACACACATATTTTATCATCTGAGTATAAGTGTATATCTCTGAATCACCAATTTTAATTTTTAAAAACCACTAGGCTGCATCAGATGCACAGATTGATGGGTGATCACGGGGGCAGGGGGGGCAGAGGGGAGGAAGTGGGAAGGAATGGGAAGGGGAAACAAAGGAGGAGGCAAGAATGCTTGTTAAGAAATGTACTCATCATCTTGCCCATGTAATTGCAACCCCTCTATACAGTATTTTCACAATTAAAAAAAAAAAGAACTAGTAACCTCAGGCTAGAGGAAGAGGATATTGTTTTGTTTAAAAGGCTTAGGTCTAAATAGAAATATTTAAACTCTGTCCCCATCTTGAGTACATCTCCAAGTCACAATAATAAAATACTTAGATTAATAATAATTAGAATAATGTCTTTCGGGGTTAGAAACATTAAAGAAAGGTATTTGTACTTTCTTTTTTCTTTTCAGTTCCAAAAAGGAATAATACTATCAATAAATAACAGTGAGTGACACTCATTTCAAAAGTTTGTCTTACAAGGCTGGGATGTAGCTCAGTGGTAAAGCACTTGCCTAGCAAGTGCAATGTCCTGGGTTCCATCCCCAGTACCAAAAAAGAAAAGACAAAAAAAATACAGTTAAAAAAAAAACAAACAAAAAAACAAAAGTTTGTCTTACATCACTAGACCTCTATCTTAGTTCACACTATCTAGTCTCTCCACACAGCCTGCTCCACTCATTTTTAGTCCCTCTTTCACTCCTGTTTTTTACTTTATGTTTATCCCTTCATTCCCAATCTTCCCAGTCCTTTCTGAAGAACTGTAGGCTCTAGCTTATTCTTTATATAAAGGTACTTACTATTGTTTGGATTTTAAAATGTCCCTGAACCGCCACATGGTAAAGACCTGGACCTCAGACATGGTACCACTGTGAGTGGGGGCCTGGAGGAAGGAGGTTAAGTTACTGGAGGCATGCCCTTCCTCTGTCACTTTGCTTCATAACCACTGTGAGGTGAGAGATTGGCTCCACCATGTGCTCCCCACCATGATGTTCTGACTCGGCAGAGGGCCAAAACAACTGACCAAGACCATGACAAGCTGACCATGGGCTGAAATCTCTGGAACCATAAGCCCACATAAATTGTCACCACTTCTAATCTGTTTATCACAAATATGTTATCACAGTGATAGGAAGCTAACTCATCAAGTAACTTTATCACCCTCTCATATATGTGTGTGTGTGTGTATATATATATATATATATATATGTATGTGTGTGTATATGTATATATGTGTGTATATATATATGTATGTATATATATATATATATAACTCAGAATAAAATTGCTTTAACAGTATCTTTTACTTGAAACTTCCCATCATATATGCTATTCATTTTGGAAAACCAGACAATATTTTTAAAAAATTCATATTGTTAATAAAAATACAAAATAAATTTCTTGAAAATTATTGTAATTTTACAGACACCTTTGTGGTCTATATTTAAAACATATTTCTTCCTAACTAGTTCCAGGTTCTGTCAATTGTAAAATATGTCAGTATGCCATAGTGGTTTTCAGAATTCCATGCTTTCTCAGCAGGCCACCTACAGAATACATAAAACTCGATACCTTTTTTTTTTATTATGAAAATACGTACAGAGGGGTTACAATTACATGGAGTTTTTCCTAGGTTCTATGCAAACAATATTTCTACATTATGGCATCTTTTTTCCTACAGTGCTTTACTTAGTGACTGGAGTTTGCTTAATTGGGGTTTGCTAAATTATTAAATTTCAGCAAACATTCATTCTAACAATTAATCTTGGTATTCTTTCATGCTAAAAGAGCTAATACTATGAGGTATTTATTACATGAAAGTTATTTTCAAAACAGTGCAATCTTGAGACAATAATAAACATGTCTTTTAAAAACTTCTGTCAGCTTGGTATTGGCTCAAAAGCTGGCCTGATGATCATTGGAAAAAACTAGAAGATCCAGAAATAAAGCCATCCACTTACAGCTATATATCATTTGACAAGGGTGCCAAAATATATGGTGGAAAAAGATAGCCTTTTCAATAATTGTGCTGGGAAAACTGGACACCCAAACACAGAAAACTAAAATTGGATCCATGTTTGTCACCATGTGCCAATATCAATTCAAAGTGAATTGGAGATGTCAACATCAGACCTGAAATTTTTCAAACTACTGCAAGATAAAGTAGGAGAAACACTAGAACTTATAGGCATAGACAGGAACTTTTTGAAGAGTCCCAGGGGCACAGGAAATAGGAGAGAGACTTGACAAATAGGATTACATCAAAGTAAAAAGTTTCTGCACAGCAAAGGACATTGTTACTTAGAAAGACAGACAACAACTAGGAGAAGATCTTCACAAGCAATACATCTGACAAAGACCTACTATCCAGAATATACAAAGAACTCATGAAACTAACACCCACACTCCCCCCACAAAAAATACAATAAACCAATCAATAAATGAGCAAAGGAGAGACTTCTCAGATGAAGGATGGCAAATAAACACTCTAGGAAATGTTTATAAAGAAAATGCAAATCAAAACAATTTTGAGATTCCACCTCACTCCAAGTTAGGTGGGAGAATTGAAATATCAAATACTGGCAGGGATGTGGGGGAAAAAATGAACACTATTGCACTGTTGGCGGGAATGTAATCCAGTGCAACCACTTTGGATAGCAGTCTGGAGATTCCTCAAAAAACTAAACAGAACTTCCTTAAGACCCAGACACACCACTCTTGGGCATTTGTCAGAACACTGCAAGTCAGGATATAGTAAAGACACTTGTACATTCATGTTTATTGCTACACTACTGACAATAGTCAAATGATGGAAAGCCCAGATGCCCTAAAATAGATGAGTAGATGAGTGGATCAAAAATATGTGGTACCTATACATAATGGAATTTTACTACACTACAAAGTATGACATTATGTCATTTGCAAGGAACCTAGAAAAAATCATATTAGGTGAGGTAAGCCAAGCTAGAGAGATAAATGGTGCATGTTTTCTCTCCTCTGGGGAAGCTAGATCTAAAATAAAACTACATATGATAACTTATATAGGACTCTAGGCATTCACACACAGCAAGACCAAAGGAAGATACTCTCAGGGGAGAAATTCAACGACATAATTCTTCTGAACATTTAAAATATTATTTAATCAAAACAAATTTAAAGAACTGGAAACGGGAGTTTTTGTTTTTTAATATGGGTTGTTTTTTTTTGTCTTATGGAGACAAAAGAGGAGCACAGAAATGGAGGAAAAGTGCACAAATAAAGTCATGGTATTCAGTATATCACTATATCCAAAATGAACTCTGAACTCTGCAACTTGTGGGAGGGGATGGGAGGGGAAACTGGAGGAAAGTGAAGTCAAGTAGTGGCTACAAAAATAATTGTACTTATTATCTGACTTATGACATGGTAACCCTTCTGTACAATACCTTAATAAGAAGAATACAAATGTGTTTTTTAAAGCTGCTGTCATTTTCTATTTTGGTAGACAAAATTCTAAAATTATACCTAATATTCCTCCTTTGCCTCAGAATAATGTCCAACTTTTGAATGTGTTTATGATGAGATAATCTATTTTTTTACTGAGGTCATATGATAAATGGGAAATTACTTGGGTGGGCCTGATATAACTGGGGGAATTTTCTCCAGGTCATGGCTGAAATAAAAGTCACAGAGATGTGGTCAGGCTTTCCTGGAAGAAAGCCTGAACTGTCTACCTGGCCACATGGCATATGCTGATCTTCACCTGACACCTTGCAGGAAAAAAGGGAATATGATTTTGCTTACATAAGAAAAATAGTTTTGCTACCAACCAGGGATCTCCTAAGAGGATCCTGAGTCTCATGTGAGGACCACAACCACAGACAGCATCCTGATCTCAGCCAGCTGATATCTCAGGCAAAGAGACCAACGATGTCAAGCTGCAAACCTAGAAAAGCTGTAAAACAGTAAGCCAGTATGGTTGTGATACTACGTCACAGAGCAATAGAAAACTGACACACTCACTTTACCTAAGTTGTTTGAAGCATTTTGATATTTGAACAGAGCATTCCTAAAGAAAACTGCTGCAGACACCCTGAAAACATTACAGGAAGGAATAGGAGAAACTTTAGGGCTTCTTGGAACAGGACGAAATTTTCTTAATAGAGACCCAGAAACACAACAAATCAAAGAGAGGTTGTACAAAAGGGATTGCATGAAACTGCAGAACTTCTACATGGCAAAGGACATAGATAGCAAGAACAATAGAAAGCCCGCAGATTGGGAGATCTTCACTAGCCATACAGTGGACAAGGGTCTCATATCTAAAATAATACTTGGAACTCAAAAAATTAAACCCCCCAACAACAAATCCTCAAAGTGGGCTAAAGACTTAAAAAGAAACTTTTCTGAAGAGGCAATAAGAATGGCCAATAGACACATGAAGAAATGCTCAACCTCTCTAGCTATAAAAGAAATGCAAATCAAAACAACATTGAGATTCTACCTCACCCCAGTTAGAATGGCTATAATCAAGAAATTTAATAACAACAGATGCTGGAGGGGATGTGGCCAAAAGGGAACCCTACTGCATTGTTGGTGGGAATGTAAACATGTTCAACCACTTTGGAAAGTAGTAAGGAGGTTTCTCAAAGACTCCACATAGAGCTCCCCTATAACCCAGCAATCC